AATGAATGATTAATGCGAATGAAATGATTTGAAGGGTATTAGGTAATGGTAAATAAGTATGCATGTTCTTGATTTGTAGACTTGTTTTTAATTCCAATAATTAATAAATGTTCTTTATGCTTACTCACTGAATGAATGATTAATGCGAATGAAATAATTTGAAGGATAATGGTAAATAATTAATCATTTTCTTGATTTGTGAACTTGTTTTTAATTCTAATGATTAATAAATGATGTTTATACTTTCATTTTGCTGACTCGGCATAATATGAAAACCGAAAATATAAGTTTATATGGCCTAACTGTGGCATTAACTCTAAATCAAAAAAGTTTTTTAGATGGAAGAATGATGGCAAAAATAAACGAAAGCGCTATTGAAAAATCTAAAACCCTATAACCTTCCTGTACAAAATGTAAAACCACATAAATACTTGTAATGCTTTATTGTATTTATTTAATTGGTAATGTTAAGTTTGGCAATTTTTTATGTCGAAATAATATAAAATTCAAAAATTTTAGTTCGTATATCCAAGTTTGTTACAGAGAGGTTCGCTATAAATAAAGTTGAAATTTTGCCATTATTCGAGCGATTTTACTGTGTTGTGTATGATTTGTTAAAATTAGCTAATTAGAATGAAAGCCTGATATGCTATATCAGATATTTACTCACTTGATCACATGATTGCAGATTGAGCATTTCTACTGGCTGATATATTAAAAAAATTTAAATTTTGAAATTCAACTTGATTGACCCACCCGAGATATGAAAACCGATAGTATAAGTTTGTATAGCCTAATAAAAAATTTTTTTCTTTCTATCAACAAAGCAGGCCTTGGTAGCCGATTTCAGCGTATACATATTAAGCTTACTTTTACATATCTTTTCAAGATTTTTCCCTACAATTAATATGTGGTTGTACCAGAAAATTTTTACGATTGTGACATTTTGTTACAGTTTTTATCTATAGAAAAATTTTTAATAAGAGTGTGCGCAGTAAACTTACTAACATGATCACTTCTTACAACATAACTGCATAAACGAAATGTGTTTTGCTTATTGGTTCATGTGTATTGTAGCTATCCTCGTCAGCCTTCTAACTATTCTGGTTATTAATATTATTGTTATTATTGCTGGGCTTGCAGTATGCAACAAGCAAAACTAATCTTATCTTATTTGTGCAAGTAACTTAAAGTAACCTCATATACTATTATAGTTCTTTCCTATTTCTGGTGTCCTCCTCCTAATTGCAATCAACAATTATATCAGTTATTTTATCATCACCAGTGTTCTGAAGGGTCTAGGTGAGTTTGATAATTAAATTTGTAATTAATACCATCTTTTTTTAAAAAAAAATTTTCTAACTACGGTTCAGATATGTTGAAAGCCAATAATAAGAAAATAGATGTCAATAATTTAAACCTTGATCGCTCATATACCCTTGAAGAATTTGAATTCATAAATGATCAGCTCAAAACACGCACCTTAGAAATTGATGGACAACCAGTTAACCTTTTTGATTTTGATAAGAACGGCAAGCTTATTCCTATGTCGCAATCACTCTATTCCAGAGAGATAGTTGTTGCTGAGATTGTTAGACAGCTTGGTGAGTGGAATATTTGGACAAAGCAAAATGGGTGCATTACCTTATTACAGGGAGGATTTGATTTTGATGTTGGGTGTGGTAGAATGATAAGAGCACCGGATATTGCTTATACATCTAAAGAAATACATCGTTCATTGAATAAAAAACAAAATTGGAGTTTTCGTGGTGAACCATTTACCCCTGTATTTGTAGTTGAAATCAGGAACATTTCAAGTCACTCAAAGTTTGAGAAACTTGATAGAAAATTCAAGGACATATACTTCGCAGAGAGGACATCTGTGCAACTGGGATGGTTAATAGACTCAGAAAATAAAGAGATCCACGTATATAAAAGGGGTCAATGCCATATTAATCACGGATGGAAGGATGTTGTTGGTGAAGACTTTTTACCAAGGTTTACCCTAGAAATATGGAAAATTGAACATGCAATATCCCAGGTGTGTTTTTGTTATTTTCTACCTTTTGATATATAATCAATATTATCTATTATCATTCATATATTTTTGGGTTAATTACAGCGAGAATCGGTATCACCTGAACCAACTGAAAATAATAGAAACCTTGACTAGCATATATAATATGATGAAACATATTGAGAGTAATCATGCATATAAATGAAGACGTACCGATTAGTATATAGATTAGACTTATTATTTCCGGAGAAATGCATATTTATGGATGCTTTTTCAGTATAGTAAATTCAATAAATAAAGTATCTATTCATTTTGCAGGTTATATTGGTTTGTAAAATGGGAATATTTCCTTCGTGCTATTTGTAATTATACAAAAATATATATGGCATGTATATTTCTGAATACATATCGATATGATCATGACATTTTGTCATAGTTTTTTTATGCATGATATTTAATATGGTATTATAATTATAACAAGGTTCGCGTTGGGGAGGTTGCAGTTGCAGTGAGTAGTAAGAATGATTTATGGTAGTTAAAAGTGGGTTATAAAGTAAGATTGGATGTTAGATTATCATATTTTTTTTATTATTTGTATAAAAGTGGGTTTGATTTTTATATGATGTTTATAGAGGTTTTATATTTCAAGTTTAGGTTTATGCTGTTGTATTATTATGTTTTTTTAACATTTTATTTGATTAAATATATATGCTATTTAATAGTTATTGGTAAATTAAAAAAAAAAAAAAGGGTTAGAAGAAATTATGATATTGAAACTTTAAAGAAGTATGTATGTATATGTTTTTTTGCGGGTGGGGTATTTTAATGTAGTATAGTGATTGGTTTTGTTGAGATTGGATGTTTAGTAGTTGTTAATATTGAAAGGAGTAAGGGTAATATAGTAAGGAGGGGATTAAGTACTAATTAATTTATGAGTAATATGTAATAAATGTATGTTGAGTTATAAAGAAATGGGAAAATTGTGAAGTTATGAAGATATATTATAGTTGTCTTTTTGTAAAGTCACTTTTATATAGTCAGATTATTTTTATAAGCATTACTTTTTGAAAAATGATTTATTTAGAGAATTGATATTGCCACCTCCCACTTTTGCTAATGCCACCTCCAACATGCCTGGAGCCGGTCTCCAACCCTTATCACATGACTTTGGAGTGTTGATCACGTGATAATATCAGACCGAATTGGTTAATGACACAAACCGAAATTCACGTGATCAGCGTAATACGTTTATATAACACCTATCATTGTTAATTGACACAATCTACCAACCAGATTTCAGAAACTATAATCAAGAAAGTATATATTTCATAATATGAACAAATGAAATTAAATAGTAAATATTTTATTTTAATCACTCAGACTAATTGTGGAGATTAAATGAAATTAAATAGTGAATATTCATAAAATAAAATCTATATTAACATGAATAATTAAAGACATTGGTCATACAATGATTAATATAATGAAATTTGTTTTGTTAGAGCAAATAGTTGGCTGACATCATTGTACTGACAGAACAAATTTTGACACATGACCTAATATCGATGCTATCATACATGTGATATGCTTTATCAGTCATTATTAGTTAACTGAGTTTTAATCTGACATCAATATATATTGATCAAGATGGTGAAATCTGATATTATTTATCTAAAATCATTTAATTCTGGTCACCTAAGATATTATAAATCAAAGACAAGTGTAGTATATAAAATATTAATTCGCTTAATAATAATAGCAAATATAAAAAAATATTATAACTTGCTGTTATCCAAATTGCTTTGGTTCATTAGTTGTGCTACCGAAGCTGGAAATAACTGGAGCTAGAAATTAAAGTTCTCAAGTTGAAAAATATAAATCCTGACAAAACCCGCTTATACTTTTTACCATATTACCTTGAAATAACGCGCAGGATTGAAATTACAAATTTCAGTTTAAATTAAGCTTAATTCAGACTGGGCCTTGAAATAATACACTGCGCGTTATTATGGTAATTATACTTAAACCTTAACCTAACTATAAAAACAAAAATTAGAAAATGCGTTTCAAAAAATTTTGGAAATTTTAAAATTTCCTGTAGCAATAATTATGTTTTTGAACTGACAACCAAAGCCTGTATAAATTCAAATAAGATATTTACCTTCATATTACAGTATTATATTGAATGATCTTCAAGTTGCATTGCTTTGCTATAATAGTAGAAATAATGATGTAACTATGATGTGTTTATAATGTAATAAAATTTTGAAAAATAAATACAGCGTTGATCATAGATACACGTCCTTTTTCCTCTTTTTTTCATTTTCGAAAATTGAAATATAAAACTCGAACACTATTGCTCGTTTAATATCCCAAAAAAATCAAAATACAAACCATTTTAATAATCATATAAACTTATTAAAACTCACCTTATCTCATAGTTAAGTATGCAACCACCTCATGAATATGATCAGAGTTTGTAACTTTAAGGTACCAAATATTTTTACACCTGGCTGCAAAAAGCTCAAAAGGATAATTTATAAGTCTTGAAGCTGTCTCTCTATGGCGTGTATCATCTGTTAGATTTAATCTGTTCCTATAAACACTGCTTCTATCACACTCTAAAGTCATATTTTTTATTTTACTACGTCTATCTGATCATGATCTTCTTATAGTTACAGTATATCCTTGAGTTTTGGCAAAGGCCTGAACATATTCTAGAAGTTTATTACGGTTTGTAAATTAATTAGGTGGAGGTGGTTGCATACTTAACTATGAGATAAGGTGAGTTTTAATAAGTTTATATGATTATTAAAATGGTTTGTATTTTGATTTTTTTGGGATATTAAACGAGCAATAGTGTTCGAGTTTTATATTTCAATTTTCGAAAATGAAAAAAAGAGGAAAAAGGACGTGTATCTATGATCAACGCTGTATTTATTTTTCAAAATTTTATTACATTATAAACACATCATAGTTACATCATTATTTCTACTATTATAGCAAAGCAATGCAACTTGAAGATCATTCAATATAATACTGTAATATGAAGGTAAATATCTTATTTGAATTTATACAGGCTTTGGTTGTCAGTTCAAAAACATAATTATTGCTACAGGAAATTTTAAAATTTCCAAAATTTTTTGAAACGCATTTTCTAATTTTTGTTTTTATAGTTAGGTTAAGGTTTAAGTATAATTACCATAATAACGCGCAGTGTATTATTTCAAGGCCCAGTCTGAATTAAGCTTAATTTAAACTGAAATTTGTAATTTCAATCCTGCGCGTTATTTCAAGGTAATATGGTAAAAAGTATAAGCGGGTTTTGTCAGGATTTATATTTTTCAACTTGAGAACTTTAATTTCTAGCTCCAGTTATTTCCAGCTTCGGTAGCACAACTAATGAACCAAAGCAATTTGGATAACAGCAAGTTATAATATTTTTTTATATTTGCTATTATTATTAAGCGAATTAATATTTTATATACTACACTTGTCTTTGATTTATAATATCTTAGGTGACCAGAATTAAATGATTTTAGATAAATAATATCAGATTTCACCATCTTGATCAATATATATTGATGTCAGATTAAAACTCAGTTAACTAATAATGACTGATAAAGCATATCACATGTATGATAGCATCGATATTAGGTCATGTGTCAAAATTTGTTCTGTCAGTACAATGATGTCAGCCAACTATTTGCTCTAACAAAACAAATTTCATTATATTAATCATTGTATGACCAATGTCTTTAATTATTCATGTTAATATAGATTTTATTTTATGAATATTCACTATTTAATTTCATTTAATCTCCACAATTAGTCTGAGTGATTAAAATAAAATATTTACTATTTAATTTCATTTGTTCATATTATGAAATATATACTTTCTTGATTATAGTTTCTGAAATCTGGTTGGTAGATTGTGTCAATTAACAATGATAGGTGTTATATAAACGTATTACGCTGATCACGTGAATTTCGGTTTGTGTCATTAACCAATTCGGTCTGATATTATCACGTGATCAACACTCCAAAGTCATGTGATAAGGGTTGGAGACCGGCTCCAGGCATGTTGGAGGTGGCATTAGCAAAAGTGGGAGGTGGCAATATCAATTCTCTAAATAAATCATTTTTCAAAAAGTAATGCTTATAAAAATAATCTGACTATATAAAAGTGACTTTACAAAAAGACAACTATAATATATCTTCATAACTTCACAATTTTCCCATTTCTTTATAACTCAACATACATTTATTACATATTACTCATAAATTAATTAGTACTTAATCCCCTCCTTACTATATTACCCTTACTCCTTTCAATATTAACAACTACTAAACATCCAATCTCAACAAAACCAATCACTATACTACATTAAAATACCCCACCCGCAAAAAAACATATACATACATACTTCTTTAAAGTTTCAATATCATAATTTCTTCTAACCCTTTTTTTTTTTTTTAATTTACCAATAACTATTAAATAGCATATATATTTAATCAAATAAAATGTTAAAAAAACATAATAATACAACAGCATAAACCTAAACTTGAAATATAAAACCTCTATAAACATCATATAAAAATCAAACCCACTTTTATACAAATAATAAAAAAAATATGATAATCTAACATCCAATCTTACTTTATAACCCACTTTTAACTACCATAAATCATTCTTACTACTCACTGCAACTGCAACCTCCCCAACGCGAACCTTGTTATAATTATAATACCATATTAAATATCATGCATAAAAAAACTATGACAAAATGTCATGATCATATCGATATGTATTCAGAAATATACATGCCATATATATTTTTGTATAATTACAAATAGCACGAAGGAAATATTCCCATTTTACAAACCAATATAACCTGCAAAATGAATAGATACTTTATTTATTGAATTTACTATACTGAAAAAGCATCCATAAATATGCATTTCTCCGGAAATAATAAGTCTAATCTATATACTAATCGGTACGTCTTCATTTATATGCATGATTACTCTCAATATGTTTCATCATATTATATATGCTAGTCAAGGTTTCTATTATTTTCAGTTGGTTCAGGTGATACCGATTCTCGCTGTAATTAACCCAAAAATATATGAATGATAATAGATAATATTGATTA